TAGCAAGATTCTATATATTTTAGTAATTAAGCAGTGTTTTTAAGTTAATACGACTCGCCAAAGTAAAAAAATATTTCAGGTTAGGTATATATTTTTTTACTGAAAATAGCAGTTAATTTACATTATCGGATTGTTAATGTGAAAATATAAACATTAGACTGTTGACTATTCCATGTTATACGTGTTTTAAGGTCACTTTTGAAGAAGAAACTACATGTAATTTTAAAAACCGTATTTCTGTTTTTATAATGAAGGAATAGTAATTATAAGATTGTTTAAGCTTATTAACTAAAAATTATTGCCTACTCAATAAAAAAATATTATTGTCCTCGATAATCTATTACTGATTAATAAAATATTTACTCTCTTTCCTTATAAGATTGTATGTACACAAATTGGAGCCGTTCCTGAAAAATCGGACGAATATCCGGTGCAGCGGAATTATTAGACTTGAAGCGTTGGCCGCTAGAACAGCACCTGCCGGGGTCCCGTTTCGTGACTCACGCTGGGCGATATTTTTTGTACAAAATCCCGTCCTTAACACATTATCGGAACACTATGCGAAATGAACGACACATTACAATTTCCATGCAGAGAGTGCTCAAAATTGTATCACGAGATTAAGCAGTAGTAAAAATTCTGCTTATGACTTACTGTCTATTACATTCTGCCAAAAAGCGTGACTTGTGTCAAGTGAAGATACTTTTATGAATTTAACCAGATTTTTACCGGCCGATTTCTGTTGTTTCAGGAAATGGCGACCAGGAACCCGGCTCGGCGCCGACCAAAGGGGGCCGCAGCGTGGTGCTGCAGCAGCAGTGGGTGACGTTGACGGCGAGTATGTGGCCCGAGCCCACGGCCTCCCCCAGAGGCTGGAAGGTATCCGCCGAGCGTCTACCCGTTCTCGCCGCCGTTTTCTGCGGCGCCGCCCTAGTCGTCTGCCTCTTGTGCGCCTTTCTCTTCTACCGTTGCTGCGTCATGCCGCGAAGGGACAAGCACTACTGTAAGTACCTCCGGATTCTTCCCAGAAGATGATTATAAAAAATATATACAACACTGATTTAATCAACAATACTGTTTGATTGATACTGCTGTCGGTCTAAAGACAGCAGTATCTAGAAACTTTAGTGAAAATTAAAGTCCCTAGATTGAGCAAGTACCGCAATCAGTGTTGTAGTTTGCCCCAAAATGGCGGTTTGACATATGTCAGTTTGTGTCTGTGTTTATATCAAATAGATATTAAAATTTAATTGTAGATAGAAATATTGAGGTATTGCATTAATGAAATGATCAAAATATGTAAAAATTAATCAATTGCGTAAAAACGTATTGAAATTTCAAACTTATCTTTCAAGGTTGATAATAGGGATTTTTTGCCCAACGCTACCGAATAAGTCAAAGTAAAGGCTGACGCTTGCCCACAAATTTTGACGTTTGTAGGACGTCAGGATCCATAGAGCATTGCGATCGACGCCCTCGGATCTAACAAATTACATGCATTTTATCTAGGCTTTGGGTGCAAATCATGATTGTTAATAATTCTTCGAAAATTATGCAGGTCTGGCAACGCTGTCGCTAACAGTGATATAGTACAGTCATTGAAGATTTTCACCTCCGAATTCTTTGAAACTGAACCGATCGACTTAAAATTTGGCAGATAGTTAGAGAAAAAGTCAATGAACATCAGTGACATAGCGCCGATTGACACTTCCACCCTGTTGGGGGTAGACACCCCTTCTCGAGGGTGGAAATTTTTGTTTTTCAAAAATAACGCAGAAAATCAAATCTTAAGCAAAAAATATTGGAAGAATTTTTTCGAGAAATCAATAGTATTTTAGTTATGCACGATTGAAAACTTGGAATTTTGAATGAAAAAAAAAACACTTTTTTAAAGTAATTTTTCGCGAATAAATCAAAAACTACGCATTTTATAAAAAAAAGAGTACCTAATGAACAAAAATTTAGCTTATAAATAAACAAAGAAAACTGTTTTTTAGAAAGTGTACGTCCTATACAAAGCGAAATATGGTTAGTGGAAGGGGACTTGTTTTGGGGGGAATACTCGAATCGATGTATTCAGCGTCAAATAACGGAAAAATGATTAATTTTACGTGTATAACGCTCCTGGAATTTTTTGTAGTACTGAAAAAGACATTCAAAATGAACACTTATAAAAGTTTATTAGAGCAAAATTGAAGGAGTTATCGTCAAAAACAGATGGGTTGCTCATATTTTTTTAAGGAAAAATGAACAGTAACGCTGTACCATTTCCATCAGATTTAAAATTAATCGTAGACCCTTTATAATTAGTTTTGTTTTAGTGTTTTTCATACGATTCTGAAGTTAGACCGGTTTAGAATGCGTATTTTTTTAATAATGTACGGTAAGAGTTGAACACGTATTTTTCATTGTTCAAAAAAAGTTGCCTTATTTATATAATAACTCTGAAACTATGAAAGATACTTAAAAAATGATAGACAACAAAAATGTAGCTTTTTTTCATCGAATATTTTGCTTTTCTTTTATTCCTATAGCATAAAAAATAAAGGAGATATCGCCGCTTGAATTATCCATTTTAGTGAAAAATCGACCTGTCTTGAGTCCTTCGATCCTTTCCCTTTAAAAAACGAAGGACTTAAAAGGTTTTATATGCAAACGATCTTACAGCTCTTGAAATTATCTTTAAAATGCTTTTTTGTACTATAGCTTTAAAATTAAAAAAAACAATTACATTTTTTCGGAGCAAAATAGGCTTTCATGAGAAAGCCTATTTTGCTCCGAAGCTCCAAAAATGATTTTGGAGCAAAATTCAAGTGCACGTAGCAATTTTTTTATGATTGATTATATTTAAAAATCGATTATAATAAAAATATTTTACATTAATATTGGTAAAAGGGTAGTTTATAAGAGTTGAAAAAGGCAAAAGTAAAATATTCTTTCATAAACAATATAAGGGAATTTTTATTTTAAATTATTGCATAATTATAGCATTCCAAGATTTAAAATGTAATTTTTTATAATTTTTTTAGCACAGGGGTGATTTATAAGGGTTAAAAAGTGTTATGAGATACAAATTCTTTCATAAGCAATGAGATGAGGGAATTTGTATTTTAAATAATTGCACTGTTAAAGCATTCCAAGTTTTTAAAAAGTAATTTTTTATCATTTTTGTCAATACAGGAGTGGTTTTTAGGGGTTGAAAGGGAAACATTCTTTTATTAGCTATAAGGTAACTTTTATTTTAAATAATTACACGATTTAATCATTCCAAATCTTTAAAAAGTAATTTTTTGTCATTATTTTTTACATAGGGATAGTTTTTAAGGGTTAAATAAAGGGTCGAAAAGATCAAATATATCATAAAACATGTTCGAGAATATGGAACATTATTTAATATTTGTGCTTGAACAAGATTTTTATCAATAAAATGCTTAAAACTTAATTTTTTCAATTTTTTTCACATAGGGTTAGTTTTTACCCCTAAAAAACAAGCTGATTTTCAGCTTCAATAACTGTACTAATACCACTTCATGAGTATACCAACAGACATTCACTGATTTTTAATTTTTTTTTGCTTAATGACGTCAAATGCGTAAAATGAAATAATAAAGGAAAAAAATATTTAAAATAAATACTAATTTCACACCAAAATTGTTAACATTTTTGTAAATTTCAATGAAATATGTTATACAAAATTTCCTATTTATTAATTTTATTTTATTTAGTTAATATTTTGTGTAGAATTTCATTTAATAAAAACCTTATTTAACTGACATTTCAATTCACATCTAAAAGCTAATGGATCAGGATGATGGATGATAATTTACAAATAGACGACATGCATGTATTTACTTCTCTTAGTTCTCGATGAGTGGTCAATTTCCTGCAAAAGCTGTAATCGGAAATGAACTACCTATTTATTTAGGAAATGAAAAGAGTAATTTGTCGACGTTTCAGGAGCAATTTGGAAGCATACAGATTTTAACTACGTTCAAATATAAACTATTCTTTGATGTATTTTTGAGTGCCGTTTTTATATAGCAGCCCATTTTATATTGCCCTAATTTTTTATACAAGTCAATCTAACCTAGTCCACTAAATTGCAACTTTTTAGATGAACTTGCTGATTACTTGTTGGGATAAAAATGTGGATTAAATTAGGGTAGCTACCGTAAAAACAAAAAGGGTAATAAATTCATATCAAATGTCCCTTTATCCTGGATCCCCTACAAAATATGTGCGCACCACGTGCTTTGTTTTTTTAATTTGAGATTATCCCCCTATCCGTATAGGCGGTTAACAAAGGCTTCTCTGTAATATAAAATACTGCCTTTTTAATGCTTTTACGCTAACTTCAACGGTGAGGTCGGGTATATTTTCCCATTAATGGTTGTATTCCAGGAATGTTCAGTCGTTTTTGTCAATTTAAAAATTGCCCAGTCCTTTTAGTATACGTGTCTACCGGGGCAGAAACATAAAAATTGTGTGAAGCTACCATATAAATTGTAATAAAGAGAAAGCTCTGATCAGTTACATTGGGAACTGGTCACCTAGATTTATCAATTATAGAGCTATATTTAACTTCCATGAAGTTGGAAAAAGTTATACAGTCCATATAATTGAGATAGAATTTCAATAAAAGAATAAGCCAATAAAGTTCTGTTAGCGGAACTATTGTAACAATTTACCGCGGCTTTGAAAATTTCCGGGTTATTTTCAGAATATTTAAATATACGGGGTGTTACAAAAATATGGTTACAAACTTCACCAGCAAATAGAACACTGAAAATTAGTAGGGGTACTTTTTGCCTAGTGTTTCCTTGGTGTGATAGAGGGTGTTGAAATGAAATGATATATTTGAAAAAAAATGTTTTTTCAGATATTTTGAAAATCTCATGTTGATTATTGCATAAGTAGATTATGGAAATGTATTCTTATAATCCGTAATTTAAAGAATAATCCACCTAGAAATTAAACTGGTGAGTCTGCTGCAGTTTTGAAATTTGCTTAAGGAAGTATATCGGGTTTACTCAAATGCACAGATGTACTTGAAATTTATATAGCGTATTACCCAGTGCTCCCTCTGTGCGTCATATTTTTTGAAATTTGTTTTGAATCTAGATTTTGAGAATTTTAAGATATTGTTGTTGAAAATTGTTCATTTTAACATGGGTTTATATGGCGAAGATGGACGGTGCGCCTCTTTTTTGCCTATAACTCAGAAAAAAATGGAGAAATTGTGAAACTAAACTTTTCCGTAAATAGTACACAGTATTATCTTATTTTTGATGTAAAACTATTGTAAGTTTTGAACATAGTACAGCTGTATTAATTAGAAACAGAAACCAATATTTGCATTTCTGTTTGACTTGAGGATTAATGTGGCAACGTCGCAATCAGCTGACAGCAAGGAGGGAATACATTTGAAAGACTTAACAAAAATGAAATTGATTTCAAACATATACATTTTTCCTAAATCCCATGTACGTTGTTATCAACAATAAATTATCCACAACAGATGATTTTTTGTAATGTTTTTAAAAAACTAGATTAATTAAAAGAGACTAGGAAGCTGTGATATATTTATTGGAATAAAAAATACAATTGATAAATCCTTTTAATATATTTAATGGTTTATAAAAACATCGTAATCATTACCCAGCAATATTTAGGGTTACATAAAGTTTTCTTTACTTGATTAATATAATTAGTAATACTTGAGATAAAAGCATTTGTACGGAATAACAAAGGAACATAAATATTTCTCAGCAAACTTTATATCTAAAAAATTAGTTATAGTTGCAAAACTTTTGTAACATTACTAAAATAGAGATTAAAAACACGAACAGTGAGTAATAATGTAATTTCTATCACAGAACCTTCAAAATTGCATCCAACATTTTCTTTGACTTGGACGAGAGATGGGCGCGAGTGTCATTTCATTTCTTTAGAACTAAATTAACATAATTCTCGTTGTTTTACCAGTTCACATGATTTACGGATTTTAAATAAAGGATACAAATCTTCGCGAGGATAATACGATATATTTGCTATATATAATAATTATATTGTACATAGTTTACATACAATACATTTTTGAACGTGTACGCACCTTTACCCGAATTTGACGCGCAATATCTCCGATGTCCGAGGTCTGTAGGTTCGCAGTGTGTACAACTGCTAGTCAATTATTAGCGCTGTTGCCACATCTACATAGTCTTTATGCGTTCATTAAATATAATTGAAAAGTACTTAAATATGATATTTTATGTTGTTAATTAATCAGTATGTATGCTATGTGTATATGAATAGATTTCTTTGCTATATAGATAATGTTTATCGCAAATAATTTCAATAGAATTTAATTTTTTCAAATTGGCAGCGGGCTTTAGTCCCATAAGGAAAAGCGTAGGACTCCTCACTTCCCTCGGACCCCGATATACCTCCTTAACACCTTTTATTTACGTATTTTAACATCACTAAAATATAACAATAATTTAAAACACCATTTTTCTTAGGCCTCCGTAAGGTGGACGCCACATCGTCCGGCACCCAGGTGCCTGCCGTGGTTTCCCCAGCCTACCCCAGCCAAGCGGCGGTCTTCGCCGAACAGAAAGGTTGCAGCTGGGGTTACAGCAACAGACTCGTGGCCCCCGTACAGCCCAGTCCTTGGTACACCCCGAGAATCATCGGTGGCCCGCAGTGCACCCAGTGCCCCGGCATCTGCCCGGTTCCTAGAAGCTCCAGCAATCCAGGATCTTCCTCACAGGTAATTCGTAGCTGCCGGGCAATTATTCTTGAACCTACTGAGAATAATTTTTGTTAGGTCCAGCCAAGCAACTCCACGTTGAGAAGACAGAGGCCCGTGAGCCAGCCTATACCTTCCAACGTGGTAAACGGAGAGATAGTACCAAAATCTCCGCTCCCGGAAATATCCGAATTTTCTCCAAACAGCCCTCAGTATGCTTCTAGTAGCAGTGAGTGTAGTATTCAGAAACGTGTTATTCAAATTTGACGATTTTGTTTTTTTTTGCAGTATTGGATGAGGTTGGTGCCAAAGACGAGCAAACTTCGGGAGAACCAACGCTGAAAACCAGAAGTTTGCCTGCTTGGGTGAGGTCTAAGCCAAGGCCTCTCTCAACTGAAGATGACATTAATGATTTATATGCGAAGGTAATTTTATTTCATTTCTGTATTTATTTTATTAGCTATTGTGTTTTTCCCAGCGCGAATGGGATGGAATCGTAAATGTGTACATGTATCTTAAACAGTGGTACTGCTTACTTTGTAGAATATACTGGATCTTCAAATTAAAACACCCCACCTGGAAAATATCGAAATTTAAATGTATAATTACACAACTAACTTATAAACTTCATGTTCAATTGTTCAGATGATTTTCGAGACAAGTGTTGCAGTAAACAAGAAGTCTGTGCTTTGAAAATCATTCCCAATAGGCCAAGCAAATAAAATTTTTACTCGAAAAAATTCCTATCCGCGAGATTATTGTAAAATTGTCTAAAGGAACATAATACGAGACATATCTCATCTCGTGAGTCTAAAAATTTTATTAGCTAACTTTTCTATTTAAACAAATAAGTGAGAAAAACAGTTTTTTCACTTTGCAGGGAAAACCATCAATTTTAACGAAAAGTGACTCGCAGACAGCTTGTAGGGAATAAAATTATCTACAAAATGAGACTTGTTAAATTAAAATCGGTTAATAAACAAAAAAAGTTATTGCAAAAAAAACAAGAAAAGTTCCCATTTTTAAATTTGTTTATAATTATCGCATTTATTGTTAAAATTTTATAAAACCTATGACAAGTTGAGGGTTTTGTCATACTTTAAAAGTGTGCCAAAAATGGGCGCTGTAGGTGCAATAGTTTTCGCACAATTCAATTTGTTTTTAAAGGAGGCTCCAAAAGTTATGAACTTGAAGCCTCTGTATAGGCGTTAATTTTCAACCAAACAAGATTCTGAAAGCGTCATTGTAATCTTAAAGACGCAATTAAGCGATATATTAAAAAATATCACAATTTTTTACATTAACATTCTCAAATTGTGCATTAAAAAACCCAGCGTTTTCTGCCTCACCGAAAATAGATGCTCCACGACCAATAGGAGCCAAGATAAGATGTTTTTTAAATCGTAGCGCAATTGTTTAGAAACATTAAGACTTATATGTTTCGCAAAATAAAGTTTACCACGTAAACTACGATTTCCCGTGAATTGCATTGAAAAATGTGGAAGTTCAAATTGATGCGCGCTGTAAAATTTTGCAATATTTCGGCTTCTATTCATCGTAGAATCTTATTTTTTATTTAAACGACGAACAAATAACAATGGGCATATTTATGAATTCGTAAAATAACCCCGAACCCCAGAAAAAATGCATCTTTTATACTTAATTTTTTTTAATTTACAAAAATGTCAAAAATTATTGTTAAACGAAATATTAATTAAAATTTCAATTTCGGAATTATTATACTATTATTAAGTAAATAAATGAAGCTATCGTTCATTTAAAAAGTTATTTTTTTTTATTAAGCCAAAGTAAACTTATTTTTTCAATATTTTGATGCGATTTAATTACGATTTAAATGTAAAATTAAAGTAATAATTCACAAATTATTTTCAAATTATTATTTATTGTTAAAAGATTTAAAAAAGAATAAAAAGCGTTTGAATTTAATGCAAAATTCTCAAAATTAAAAAATATTAATAAAAATAATGCGGTCGATAAAATTACAATTTTAACTTCTTGAAATTTTAATATAT